CTTTATTAATGAATAAAGAATATACAATACCTCGTATAAATATACTGCTAGTAACAGTTCTAGATAGACACTAACAGTTATTGATAATTACTAACTAACACCTAATCTTATCAGCTATTGATAATTACTAACTAATCTTATCATAGTTCTAGACACTTAATCTTATCAAGAGATATATACCCATATAATCAAGAGATATATATATATATATATGCTAACAGGCTTCCCACTTGTCATTTTCCATACGGATTGGAATACAGTTGGAGATTATATAACATTGCTTTTTAAAAATTTCTTAATGAGGGAACAATTAACAAAAACATGAAGTCAGCCTTCATATACATTGGTCCCTAGAATAAATGCATCCAATCACTAAACAACAGTAGACCTATCTCCTTCTTAATAAGTTTTTATAAAATTATTGCGAAAGTTTTGGCCAATAGATTAAAATAGGTGCTCTAATGCCTCGTCTCATAACTTCAATCAATATTTGTGAAGGACCGACAAATCATAGACAATATTTTGATTGTTCAAGAGACTATCTATTCGATATGTACATCAAGAGATGTCAGCCTTATATGCAAACTATTGATCGGTGGATCTTTCTTATCGAGATTTTACTCAAATCCTTTTGGAATAGAGATATTTTGGCTTGTTCAAAGGTACCAAACGATTAACACACTCTTCCTCTTTATCCTGGTAGTGTCCTTCAACTTAAGGACACATTCAATGAACACCAATGGTCTCCTTGGAGGATTCTCTACCTCGGTAAATTGTCCAATCACCTCGCACCTACAATACGAAGTGAAGAATCTATAGCTCTTTCTCAAATACCATGAACTAATCTTGGGCAAAAAGTTCAATATGAAGAAGATGAAATCCATAGGGATCAATTATTTGTCAGAAGATGTCTATTCCAACGCAGCCTGGTTTAGTTATGCTTAAAGACTCTCTCCCAACCAGGTATCTAGGGAAGCAACTAGTAGAAGGTAGGTCGTCTCCAGCAATATGGCACCTAGTTATTGAGAGCTTCCAACATAAGTTGGACTTATGAAAATCGAAGTACCTATCATTTGGGAGAAGGAACACACTCATTAAGGCAGCTCCATCATCTAACTTGCCAATGTATTATTTTTTTTTGCTAGGGGCCCCGAGCCCCCATTGTTGTTATCAATAGATTGGAAGTATGATGAGGGGTCTCATTTGGAATGGTTCAGGGGATCAATGAATGCGAAGGCTAAACCTATGAATGAAAATCTTCTGACAACATGGTGGTGGAGGGGTGGTAGAAAACAAGTCAACACTATAGAACTTTTTGGTAGAAAACAAGTATGGCTGACAAGGAGGGGATTCTATCAAATGGCTATCTACCTGCAAGTTAGCATTCTTTTGTAGGAAAAAGTATTAACTTTTGCAGACCCCTATTTGCTAGATACAACAGTGTCCTGGTTTGGGAATCAAGGACCAAATTCTAGCTCTCCAAGTGGATATGTGAAGTGCCACTTTGAATCCAATTCCCTTATTTACATAGTAATGCTACTAGAACTAGTGAGACAGTGAAAATATGGTGAATGTAATAGGGTCAGTAGATATCTAGAATATAAACCTTAGCATCATGTTACTTAATGGGATCGACATATAGTGCTATTATAGTTGTTGTGAGGTCTCTTCTACGGCCCTCAACAGACCTTATAAAGTAATTTACGAGCTAATTCATAATCGGAACTTCTCAATGAAGTCACTGTACAATCAAATACAAGCATATTGATATATTGGCCCATGCGTACAACAAATAAGGCATGGTTGTTTCCAACAACCCATAAAACCAAGGCTTTCATCTGGCTCACCATTAGAAACAGGGCCTTGATTATTGATTATCTAATAAGAAAAGCATTGATCCTAACCAACTCTTGTCCTCTCTCCGTAAAGCGGAGAAAGATACTTATGACGATCACTTCCTACATTGCCCCTTCACACCAGCATTATGGCACTAGCTGCTTAAAGCTTTCTAACTTCTATTGGGTGGTGCCATAATCTGTGAGGAGCTTATTTCTGCAATATGCTTCTCCACCATTGCCTGAATTAGAGGTCAGGCTATACAGTTGCAGTACTCATTTGGTAACTGTGGAAAGAGCTAGGATTGCAATGTATTCCAATCAGTATCTCCAAAATCAAACCGTCTTAACAGAACTAGTTTTGGGCGGTCGAAAAAGTGTTGAAAAATAATAATAATAAATAAATATATATATATATAGATCACCATTAAATTTGACACAGATTTCTAGAAAAGTTATCACATGGGTGTGGGACTTGACTTTTCTGGAGATCTGTACCAAATTTAATAGTGATTCTTTAGGGTCCTACACACATGGGTGTGTGGGTCTCACAAGGTCATTTCCCATATATATATATATATATATATATATATATAAGAGT